ATATATTATTATTAAATTATTAAATTATTATATATATATTAAATTTAATATTTTTCTTTTGTATAATAATTATTAAAACAATCACCTACATGTAATATACAACTTTACAACTATTACAAATTAATTTAATTCATGATTCATCATAGTGTGTGAACTGCCACTAAAGTGTCCATCTTTTTAAAGTTAAGTTATTTGATTAAGTTGTTTAACATTTAACGTTAAAAAAAGTATTTTTGAAACGAGTAATACGAGTAACTCAACACATACAGTTTTACAGTTTTTTTTTTTTTTTTTAATATTAAATCAACATTGAAAGTACTTTGTTTTCCATTTGTATTTTAAAGAAAAAAAAAACAAAACAAAAAAAAAGAAACCTTTTCTAATATTACATTGAATAAAGTAAAAAAAAAAAAAAGATAAAGATTAAGAAAGGATTAAAAATAAGACTTACTCTCATCCGTTTGTGGCGCCGACAAAATGGCGCTGTGTTTCTTCTTGACATCCTCGACATTTGTCTGGATTCTATCTATCATCTCACGTATCTCCTCCACCTAAAACAAAAAACAAACAAACAAACAAACAAACATACAAACATATGAAGAAAAACTTGAGACAATTTGATACTTAAGATCGATGATAAAAAAAACTTTCCTTTCTTCTTTTTTTATTTTTGTATTCGAAGATAAAAAAAAAAGGGGTCGGGGGTTAAAAGGAAGCTACAAGTGAAACGAATTTTAATCGAGCTTTCTCGTTCCAAGTAAAATATACATGTATATATATATATATATGTGTGTGTGTGTGTAACATGTTTTGTAAATTGGTACATGCATCACATAAATATTAAAAAAAAAAAAAAAAGAGATAGGAGAGTTAAAAAGTAGTGTTGCCAAGTCACGCACGTAAAAGACTCTACTTTACTTCTACCCCAAGCCCTTTTCTGTTTTCAGAGTACAAGCAAGTAGTAAAAAGTACGATAGATCGAACGTACACGTGAGTTTAGAAACCTGATATGTGTGAGAGGTCGACTAGGAGAAATTATAATACTCAGAAGTGGTTTAAGCTTGTTGTAAGACGATTCGATAAAGTGTATAATAACAAAATAATAAAAACAACAATAATAATAATAATAATAATAATTATTATTATTATTATTATTATTATCATTTGTTATAATTTCTTTGTGTATTGTGTATTGTATTTAAATAAAAAAAAAATTCAAATGATATTTGAAATGATATTTATATGATTGACACATAGATTTGAAAAGTATTAAATTTATTATTATTTTATATTATATATTAATTATTATATTTTATATTTAATATAATATTTGATATATATATAGTATAATTGATATATGTTTATTAAAGTATTAAATTTTGGAAAAATTATATCAAACTATCTTTATATTTAATTAAGATTAATTAAATTTATTATTAATTATAATTTATATTATTTATTAATTTTATTATAATATATTATTGTATTATATAATATTATTATATATATATATATATATATATATATTTTATATTTATTATATTATATAATATAAACTATATATAAACTATATATAATTACTAATATATATTATATTATATTATTACTGTATATTATTAATTATATATTATTATATATTATAATTTTATATTATATATAATTTAAATTATTAATTATTATAACATTATAATTAAATTATATAATATTATATAATATAAACTATATGTAAACTATATATATATATATATATATGTAATATAAAATAAAAAAATATATAATATTATAAATATAGTAAATTATATATATATATACAATATTCATACATTTAACACACAATTTTAAAAAATAATAAATATATTAATATTTTATTATTATATATCAATTATTATATCCCATATTGAAAAAACCAACATCTTTATAAACGATATTATTAAAATCAATATTTAATTTCACAAAAAAAAAAAAAAATTATTTTCTCTTACATTTATTTCAATGCTCTTGTTACTTTAAAAAAATTTATAAATAAAACCCGAAGTTAAAATGAACTCATTTAGAAAATGAGGTATAAATATACGTAAGTACCAGTCATTGTCTTCTGTTCTTCTATCTCTTTCTCTCTTTCTCTCTCTTTATCTCTCTCTCTCTCTTTTTCCTCTTTTTCTTTATAACATATGTTATTTCAAGCTCTAGGGGTTAGTCTCGTTAATGTCAACGTATATCACTAACTCAAAATTACTGTTACGAGTGGGTCTACTCAAGGCTGTCTACTCGAAGATACCTGACGATGTAAGGCAGACAGGTTTGTTTATAACACACCATGTATAACATTTTAACCAGTTAACTGTGGTGTCCTCGTTTGAGTACGTGCAACCGTTTTGTGTCACCAGAATCGAGCTCATGACGTCTATACGTCTATACTCGTCAATTACAGAGTAACTTGCAACTGTTAAGATATTGGATCGTAACAAGATGAAGTTTATTTTATCAAATTGACTATTTTATTAACTCATATTTACACTTATTTGATTAACACAAACATATATTACATACAATGTTAAACTAAAAACGCGATCAAAAATTCAATATTATGCATAGAATATTTACACCTGGTCCGGTGTCACGCATTTCACTTCATGACTGGACCCATACCTGAATGAACCCTAATTATAAATCAACCTTCTGACTTTTACCTTTGCCCCCCTTTTTAGGCTAACATCTAAAAAAAAAAAAAGAAACGTTATCATTGCACACAAATCAATTCGTTATGCGAACTGTTAAGCTGTTGCAGCCCGGTGCATATGGGGGAAGGAACACGCATGAAGTTCATCTCAAATTATTTATATTTTTCATTTGTTCGTTTTATTCCGTCATTGGCTCAAAATATTCTAAACATCGTGAAATTTGATAATACGTTTTGTTTTTTTTACAAAAATTACAATTTAAATGGCCAATGTTCGTTACTTTGATACGCATGACGTGTATACTCGTCATTAGACAAAATCTCTTATCCAGAACGAGTATACACGTCATTGGAACAAAATCGATACCAAAAACATTCATGATGAGTATAAGTGATTTTGTCTAATGACGAGTATACACGTCAATGGAAAAATCGTACCACTTATTCGTGACGAGTAATTTTTTTTTTTTTTTCTTGACATTTTAAAACGAACTCTTTTTCTTTAAAAAATAATTTCCCTCTCGTATTTTTGTCTGTGTGTAAAAAAAAAAAAAAAACAAACGGGGCTTGCAGTAAAAAGAAAAGAAAAGAAAAGAAAAGGAAATAAAATAAAATGGAATGGAATGGAAAGAGAAAAAAAGAAAAGAAGAAAAAAAAAATCCGAGGTAAAGGAATAAAATTAAAGTGCAAATCCGCGAAGAATAAGAGTGTTACTATTATCGAACTGCATGCACAACCACCATCCCATCCGATCCCCTCTGTGTGGGAAGAAAATGTGCAATCGTGGAGGTAAACGTTAAAAGGAACGTTCGAAACATGCGTCACGATCTGTGGTACGGATTAAGGACAATCCAGGGAGATTTTTTTTTTATACC